TACATCAGAAGAAACTTTGTGGCATACACTAATGGTGATGAATCACATAAGATGCGACATAAGCTACATCCTCATCATTGCAAAGATTCCATATTATTCCCCCTTAATACAGTTACTATATTATGACTACCTTACTGTCCCATGTAATGTAATGTTAATATGACTGGAAAATGATACATCCATTAATTTGAAACAGGTAGATTACACACTACCAGAACACATCCAAAATTTAATTCAGTTTCAGTTACATACAATATATTGTTTATAATATTAGTCAAAAGAGTGCCATCCGCTTATGGATGAGAAACTGTTATGTGTAAGTCTTGAGAATGAGTCTTCTACATTCCCTTATTACAGACTGTGTCAGTAAATTGACACTATTCCAGTCTTTATACAAGCGAGCCAACACTGTTTGTCAATACAAACACAATCTTTTAATATAAATGTGATGATGTAGACTTAAAACAACTTTATAAAACAGTGATAGGTCACTTCTGTTTATTTGAAAATGGAACATATTCATCTGACTCCATCCCTACAACTTTGTTTTGTGCATGGCAGGGAAGTAACATCAGGTATGGTATCTATCAAACTATGGAAATAATGCTACTGATCAATGTACATATAACATGTTTTGAACAAATGGAATGAAGAAGCCACACTGAGTTAAACTGAACTATTCTTATGTGCATACAATATCGAATACATACACAATGTATGATACAAGAAAAAGGTACTGTTATGCAAGAAACAGCAATAGGTTTATCACTTTATGAGGAAGAATCAAAAAGTTCCCATAATTTAGGTGTATCCAGAGAACTGCATCCTCTTTAAGTCTGGAGGTGTTTGGAGGAGTGGTACTGTGCTATCTGTGGAGCAAGCTGCAGTAGGCTGAGACACATCAATGTGCTAGTCAGTTATATAACAGCAACTGGACCCTGCACCATGAGAATGCACTGTCACACCTCTCTCACAGTGCAGCACTTTCAGCAAAGAACCAAATTCAAGCCATCATTCACCCACCATATGCTCCAGATCTCACTCCGTGAAACTTCTGACTCTTCCTGAGACTCAAAAGAGGGCTCAAAAGCCACTGTTCAGTGCCAGTGGAGGAAATTCAACAGTACATGACAGCATATCAAAAAATTGTACCAGAGGATTTCCAGAGGTGCTTCTAGAAATGGCAGGATCATTGGAGGAAGTGTGTGTGTGTAGAATGGCAGTACTTCAGAGGAAGTTTGTGTGTGTAGAAGGGCAATACTTCAGGGAGTCTGCTTCAGTGTATTTATATATCCTTTTTACTAAAAATTATGATTCAATTCTGGTAACTTTCTGATCCTCCTATGTAAGTCCCTAGGTCTTAAAGACTGTCAGTGTTAGAAGCATCACAGCAAAATTCATTCTCAACAATGAAGTTGTCTTTTTTAAGTGATACTGAAGAGGCCATTCCTGTGTAAGTGGGCAACCTGAGGAAAATTACTAGGGGCCCAATCAGAACAGCCAACTACAATTGTAACTGAGAAAGACATGTAAAGTTCAAACCTAAAACGCAGCTGTAAAGCTTGGTTATAACTTTCCATCATTTATAGACACCAAACTCTAAAGAAATCAGCATATAAAACAACATAGTCAATTTGCTGTAACCTTTATTGATAACAGCAATATATCACACAGTCTCACAGCTTTACTTCATGTACAGATCACACAGCTTTGGCTTTCCATAGCACCTTTTATACTGCAGGGAAAAAACACAGTCCACCAGACATCTCATGCACAAATAAGTACTACTAAATACAGAGCAAAAATCTTAAAGAGTGTTAACTCACATATAAATCACAGTCAATATATGGGAGATGGACAAAAATATGGAAACACCTCGTGAAATGCATGCTTGAATTGAAGTGTTTATTTTAGCGACGTTTGTAGGTCACACTGTCGTATCTGCCCAACACCACTACCTGTACAACCTCCGCAATATGTTACAAGTTTCATTTGTTGTCGAGACAGTGTTCTGTGCATCACGTCAGAGCTAACAGAATTTGAACATGGGCAAATTGTTGGGGCCCATATGGTGGGTGCTTCTGTAATCAAGGTAGCCGAGGTTTTTGGTGTATCACGAGGCACAGTATCCAAGATTATGACCGCATACAGGAGGACTGAAAAAACCACATCCAATAAACACCAGCATGGACGGAAATGTGTCTTGAGTGATCGAGACAGATGAACATTGTGTAGGATTGTGATGAAAAATAAGAAGACTACAGCTGCAAAAGTGACTGCTGAACTGAATGTCACACTCACAAACCCTGTCAGCACCAAAACAGTGTGAAGGGAACTCCACAAGCAGGATATTTCTGGACGAGCTGCAATTCCAAAGCCACTCATCAGTGATCAAAATGCCACTAACAGGAGAGTTTGGTGCTGAAGTCATAAAACCTGGACTACTGAGCAATGGAAGATGGTCATTTGGTCGGATGAGTCCACCTTCACACTGTTTCTGACTTCTGGCCGACTTACGTCTGGAGAATGCCATCCCAAGCTTACGATCCAGAATGTTCGCTGCCAAGAGTGAAATATGGCTGGGGTTCGATCATGGTATGAGCAGCCATATCATGGTATTCTGCTGGACCCATCATTACCCTGCAAGGTCATGCCACTGCCAACGACTATGTGACCATTTTGGGTGACCAGGCCCATCCCATGGTGCAAATTTTGTTCCCCAATGGTGATGTCATTTACCAAGACGACAATGCCCATGTTCACACAGCTCACATCGTCCAGGACTGGTTTTCTGAGCACGAAGATGATGTGTCACGTCTGCCATGGCCCCCACAATTGTCAGATATCAATATTATTGAGCCTTCGTGGTCTGTTTTGGAGAGCAATATGCGTGCGTGCTATCCACCTCCATCATCGTTAACAGAACTTGCCAATGTTTTGAAGGAAGAATGGTACAAGATTCCCTTGCAAATCACACAGGTCCTCTATTTATCCATTCCAAGGAGACTGCAAGCAGTTCTGCAAGCCAGAGGTTGTCCTACACCATATTAGTCACGTTAATGTTTTTTGTTGGGTGTTTCCATATTTTTGTCCATCCCCTGTACTACCACTGTATATCATCCAATATTTCAAATACTTTCATTGTAAACCTCAAGGCTCTGATGCATATGGCTACACTGAATTGTGTACAGGTTGCACACAATAAAAGCAATGACAAGTTTAACGGTATATTTTTCACTCATATGTGTCTCTTTACCTGACAATAAACCAATTTCATTAGGATGAAGCAGATTCCACTAGCCCTGTTATAAATCAAATTGGGGGGGGGGGCTAATATTATTGTAAGCAATACATCACTGAACTCTGAGATTTTGTAACCCAAATCTATACAGGACTTAACACTTTCCACATCTGGCTGTGAATACTGTATTTTGGTAAGATCCTAAGTTCATCAAGGTAACTGCATCTTCATACTTATGAACTGAAGAGAAGGTTGATGGTAGCATAGTTTCTACATATTATATATTGTCTGAGAGACAACTGGGTACAACCAATGAAAATAATTGTTTGGTATCCCTGTAAACTTTGCAGGTATTACAATAGCAAGGCTAATATAATAAATTGATACACGTTTCTGTACAACTGCTTGTACAAGATATGTCAATATGCCAAAGTACTCTGGCCCTGCAACATGGATGTGGCCCACCACATGAAAATGCCAAATCTTAAGTCAATACATATTTATGCAACATCAAATGCCTTTGTACCATAATAAACAGCAAAGATATCTGACACCGAAAAAAAATACTATTAGCTTCTCATGGAACTACTACTCACATTTTCTACAGTGTTCCATTTTTAATCTTTAAATGTAAAACTGACAAAATCTGTGACTGTGGAAACAGTGGCATGATAAATCACACTTTATATCCCCCCCCCCCCAAAAAAAATAATTTTATGGTGACATAAAATAAAATACAAATACAGTTTAACTGCATACAAGCAGAGGCCTATGGACTTGCCAGTAAAATTTTTGAGCTCTGGTACAAGAGGTTATACTCGTACATCGAATTCTTGCATGTTCCATACCAGTTTTCTAGGCACATATTTATCTGGAATTGCTAGCTGCATACCTCAGTAGTTTCAAGCCAAATACAAAACAAACTAGATAATGTGTTGCAAAGGGTTGTACCACCCCTGTAGTTTTAGGAATCCTGAGTCTGATGTCTGGGGTCATGCCTTCTACTAAAATCTATAGCGTGTCAAAAGGTTGACCTGCTTCCACTTAAAAATGTTATATCTACCCCTTGCCATTTTCATAAATCAGTGGAGTCCTGGAGTATTTCGTTTGGGACCTATCCTTCAACTCATGCGGGTTAACTTGATATTCGTGAGGGGTTCATGTCTCGAGACACTGGGCTGCAACCTTAGTTTAGATTAGTTTTTAAGAACAAGAGAAAAGTTGAAGGGTGCATTTTTGTCTGGGTTGTTGCTAGGAGAAGGTTGGCCAGACTTACATTTGCCAGTGCTTCTATGTAATATACACACAGTTCAATAAATCCTCTATATTCTGTAGTGAGTATTTGCTCTTTGTGGTTGGAATACACGCTCAGGCAGCCAACTGACAATCATCATCACTGAATTATTATGCTACTGCTGGTCAACATTACAACGCTCACAGCCAAAAAGGAAGGACACATCACAAGATACAGTACACAAAAAATATAGGAAAAACGACTCCCATAGTGGAAGAACCATACAATATTGAATTAAGATGCATAAGATGAATAATCTTTACAAGTTTTAGTGTATACAAATTTTATTATAGTTGATGAAGAATGTACAGTTTAATAATTTTATGAAAGACACATGATGGCAAGCAATGCAATAGCTTAGCGTAAATAAAGCACCTGAAGATGGCACAATGTTGCCGAAACATGTAGTGAAGTGACATGTTAAATTGAGTGCACTACAAGACAGCCATTACATACATATCATGGATGAGAATCAGTGCAACAGGATGCTAAAATACAACATTATAAACAAAGGAGTATACTGGATCTGTTTCTTAAAACATTGTCCAGTTGAAAGAAAATGTGCCCAGTTTTGGGGGCGATAAAATGAAATACAATCCAGGGAATGTTTGAAAATCTGCAGAGACAATACAAGAGATATAATTTCAAAGAACATCTTGAACTCAAGTCTGTGTAACAGCATATTTCTATACTGGTGTAAAAATACAATATTTTAGTATACCAGTACTTTATTCAGAGACAAATATAGGTAAAATAACACAGTCCTTCCACTACTATGGCATTTCTTTGTTATTCCAAATATAATAAATAACTCAGTGGATTTCCTGCTGCATTAAATTCTGCTAGATTCTAATCAATGCCTGGCAAATTATTTCTTCTCAACTTTTCAACAGCAATTTCAACTTCAATAAAATCTGGTTCAGCTTATGCTTTTAAATCTGTCCAAGATCATTACCACCACATTTAATAACATTAAACTGTTGTAAAAAACTACAAGTATATCATCATTCTTATCTTTTACAAGTTAAATCTCTGTTGATAACCTGCCTAAAACCAATCTGTCTCTATTCACTATCTAATATTTTTGTACTTACTGTCTATTTTAAGTTTATTACTATTGCTTTTAATGTGTTCCCTTTTTCTTTGTTCCTGAATGTTCTGCTAGCTTCACATCTTATATTGCTTACATTATCTCCATCACAATTTAGTCTGCTTCCAACGACAAAGTTTTGAGCACACTTCATCTAACCATGGAGTATTCTGTTTTAAGTTGTAATAACCTTTATTGATTAAGTTGTGATATCCCCCCTTCTCCTAGCAGTACTGATATTCATATTTTCCTTCAATTTTCGCACGTGGCACAGTTCGTCATCACCATCATCATAAACTTTAAGGTTCAATTGTCTTTCGATCTCAGCTCACTAACTGCCGCATAATTTATCACTTCTTGGGACTGCGCTTTTGCAAATTAAACTTCTGATTTGCTCACATATTTATTGGAAGTCTCTCTCTAACATTTGCAAATATAAGTCAATGGTCAACATCAGAGTCAGCTCCTCTAAATGATCATGTCAATTAATCTTGGGTGCCATCTTATACCTATCAAAATATTTTCAACCCGATTGTATGTCTTCCGAGGTCCAAGTGTATCAGTTATGTAATGATACGGGGAACACTATATTCTTCTGTAGCAGATTTTCTGAAGTGGTGACATTTAGTCTTCTAACACCATTATCATATCTACTTTATCTGAAACTGTGATTTCAAATACTTTGTTTAAAAGTATCTTCTCTCCTATAATGTTGCACATATATGTACTTATAAAATTTTGATGTAGTATGTGGAAATTGCTCAAACACACATTCTTATTCCTTGTGAAAGATATTCTTTGTATAACTTTTACACGTAGTCAAGGCATTACCATTCAGAACAATGTCACACCAATGACCTCTTGCTATAGGGTCTTTCTGAATAGATGCTCCAGTTTCAATTGCACATAATTAACTAACTAAAATTTAAGCATCAGTGTATTTTGTGTCTTGGGAGAATGTGCTGTCCTAGTGTGACTGCTGATTGTTATATCCATGTCCTCCAAGAATTTCATCCTTTCTAAAAGGAACAGGTGTCAATTTTGGAGAAATATTTTTTCAACAGGATGGGGCCCAGTCACACATTGTGAATGTAGTGTTGAATATGTTTAATGAGCATTTTGATAACACAGTCTACTAATTTTCCTGAGCAGTTTGGATACAAGTAGTCATGGCCACCATATGCTTCAGATCTTAACCCATTTGAATATTTATTTTCTGAAAGATACAGTTTACATAAACAATCCACACACAAACACAATCTAAAAATTGAAATGAGGAATTTCTGTGGCACTGATCAGGGTCAATGAAGGCACTCCAGCTGCAGTTGTGTGAAATTTCAGAATACAGCTGCAGATGGCTACAGACACCAATAGTGCATAAACTAAAAATGTGTTTACATGACAATCAATCTCCCAAGACTACTGAACTCAGAGACACAAAATACAGTGATGTTTGCTTTCCAGTCAGGTAATTTTATGTAATTAAAACTGGTGTGTCCTTTCAGAAATACCCTGTATTATACACAACATTATCACTTACAAACTCTATGAGTATTCTCATAATGCAGCACACATTTGTTTAAAACTCTGTACAAGTGGCAATTACCATTTCCTTTCCCACAGTAAAATGTATAAATGTCTTCTCGCTCAATGTCACCCTTGTCTCATTTGACCTCCTCATCACCCACCATATCTGAATTATAGTTTGCCAATTTTCTTGCTGCTAATTTAAATGAACCTGACCTATACACACTCCTGATATTCCAAGCTCAAAATTTCATGTTCTTTTTTGAATTGAATGTCAAGGCAAAGAATCTGTCAAGTCCAAGGCCCTTGTAGTGCAGACATTATTAGATGATAACAAACAGGACACGTCACCCTCACAATGAGAACGTAAGGATGAGATGATACATACACATTATAGCCACTGGTACAGGCAGCATCATATCACATACACACATACAACATGCAGTAAACACCAACTTTATCTTCTTCACAAGTCTTGAATGTGACATAATAAAATGGAGATAAACCAAAAAGTAAGTCACGCAACACAATCAAGTTTTACGCACTTGCATCTAGGAGCCAATTACCTTCATCATAATGTGTTCATAAAATTTCATTATCTCCGGTTCAATGTTGCAGATTCTTACAGCACCACTGCTGGTTTTATTCTCTTGGCCCCTTTCTGATTCGCTGGGCAAACTTTCAATTGTTTTGGCATTGGGTGTGAGCTCTTGATATTCCATCGTGCCATCCAGTTTCGGAGAGTCTTGCGAGGGATTCCATGTACCTTGGCAGAACTGTAGATACTCTCTCCCTTCTTTACATCCATGAGAGCCTGCCAGAGACTTGAGAATGAATAAGAACGTGGGGTTTGGATTCTGAACTGATCTGAGAGAAGATTCGTGTGCACCGGTACTGACAGTCCCATACCTGCAACATGATGCACTTGTCAGCGATGCGCAAATCAAGCTGGTTTAATGTGAGGATAACTGCTGCTTCGTTGACAAAAGGGCAAGGGAACTTTGTCATGTCAAGCCCACTCACCTGTATTCTTCCCACCTACATTACCAGCATGCAGTTTCCCGATAAACAGACTATAGCTATAATGCTGTTTGTACACTGGAACTCTTCACATCCTCTCTTGCTGAGTTGCACATTTACACTAAACAGCATATCACGTAAGTTTCTTAACAAATTTCAACTCATAAGGCATTTTAACCCCTGAACGTTTATCAATAAATTATACTGTATCATATACATTTGCTAAAAATATATTTTCTTTTTCATTTTTATAATCACTAATCTTGGAAAACATGAAATTTAATTTGCTGGCAAATCACACATTCAAAACAACTCTGCTAGCTTGTTTCCTTGAGAAGACTGGAAACTAAAGAACCACAATATATCCAAATTCCTTACTCTCCAATAAATGTATTAAGTGTGCGCACACTGAAGCACACACACACCCACACACATTATTATAATACTGTATCCAAAGCCCATGATAACGAAATTCAAAATGTGTGACTAAACCAGTCAAGTGTAACCTCTGAAAGGTTTTGTAAAATACTCCTTCAGTAAGACTGTACAGAATGAATCACAGCAAGAGCTAGAAGCTTCACCAACTGTTTCCACAGATAGCTGGATATTGCTAGCGCTACTTGTCCCATTCCAGGGATGGTCACTGAACATGTTACATCACATGTATATATAGGAACTGTTTTAGCACTAGTGCAACAGGTACATCAAGAGGTGTAAAAAACACTTTTCTAAGCTCAAGGACACTTCTAGGAATAAAAATAAAAGACAAATCCAGCTCAGAATCTCAGCAAAACTACATGTGGCATTCATGGACATAAGGTTTCATTAATTCTCATATCTCAACACTAAATTGTTATCATATCCTTAAGCCTCAAAACTGTTTTTCTAACCTTTCCACTACCAACCCAAACTGAGTGCCCAAGGAGAATGCCTGCCATGCTCAACATTTATAGTTTCACACCATTTTCTACACACTAGTCACAAATCACTCATATTAAATATTTTGTAAATTTCTCTTTTCTAGTGCCACATAAAACTTGAGAAAACTTGTGAAATGTTAATATCAATATTAGTTAAATACATTCTGGCTTGTCAGTGCCTCAGAACTGTTGAAGTAAGATGGAGTAGCCAGAACATAACAAAATGTAAGATGACTGGAACTTTCACATTAAATTCTAGTCATCTTAAGTATCAAATAATTAACACAAAACACCACAATGAATTCAAGTTATTACTATGTGTATATGTTTACATGTATAAAATTCACATCTGTTCAAATACACTTCACAGGATATCAGGAGTAGAAATGTCAATTTCTGTTCTTTATACACAAATATCTATAAAACATTCGATTGAGATCAAATGCACAAATTCATTATATAAACAACATATACAAAGAGTTGTCTAAAAGGCAAGGTCCAAGAAAATGTAATAAAATAACCTGCTAGAAAATAATAACAAAATGTTTGTTGCAAGCCATGACATCTATTTCTGTTTACTTCAGATATGTTAAGGATACTATCCAATATACTTATTAAAGTAGATGTTTTATACCAGACATTTAAAAATAATCACTTTTAGTTATGAAAATCAATATTGTAATATTGTGACATAATCAAACTGCTTAACTAGAGACTTCATTTATTGCTAATCAATGGCACAGTAAACATGCTGTCACTGCCACTGATAAACACAATAAAGACTCAGCAGTGGAGGACCTGCTTGTGGTGGTGTTTTCTGTAGGGTCTGATCTGAGGTTATATATGGAGCTGCCATCAGCAATTGCAGGCAGGCAAGTATAAGAGGCTTAAAACTGGCGGTGGTCAAGCATACAACCGTTCAAGTGACTAAACTGCCATTATAGTGGAAGCTACTAGAAATAGGGCATAATCTGCTGTACTGAGCCTGGACTGACAGAGGCCCTGTATATATTTAATACATTTATTATCATGTTTAACATGTAAAATGACTTACTACTACAGACAATGACCCTGACAAAAGACAGACCCATTCTCTCATCAGAGAGGGCGCCCCACAATAACAAGAACTAAACTGTCAAACAGTAATAAATATGAATAAGATCTAAAAGTTTGTGACGATGGTAAATTGTTACAATTAATATGTTGTTGAACATTATCCATCATCTTGTCTATTTTTAAAAAAACCATCCTGTTTCTTTTAAAAAACACGTTTTGGAGACTGGATTCTGTCCCCGTCTTCAGGTAAAACCTATGTTGTGTTTTTTAAAAGAAACAGGAGCGTTTTTAAGAACAGACAAGATGATGGATAATGTCCAACAACATATTAATTGTAAGTAATAAATATATGTGGTCATGAGCTCCAGATTGGGCTCGACACCAAGATTGATTGACTGACTGACTCTCAGTCGCAATGTGACTTTGACTTGAATTGCAGGCAGTAATAGTGGACGGCCAGTGAGAGCTAGGGAGAAGTCACTGATGGTTAGTGATGTCACAAGTTCAGTTGAGCGCTGAGAGTTTACAGTTGGGTTAGGTACTTGTCAGATGGTCACCAGCTGTACATAGAGGACACTGGGATCCATTACCAGACAATTGCTTGTGAAGACACAGAAGACTTAGGATGTGCTGTAGTAAACTGTGAAGAGTGTAAATCAGTGAAACTGTTACAGTTACCTGTAGTTACAAGTTAAAAGAGCTTAATAAATCCTATTACCAATCCAAACCTTGTGTCTAGTCACTAACATGCAACAATATATTTGTTTACTTAACTGTTGCAACAACACTATAATCTGGCTGATTCCAGAATATCTAAACAAGTATATACCAGTAAACCTATTGGAAGACACTAGGTTGATCTATTCTGAAGCTGGAACATGACAGGAAGTTTAGTTCCTATAGCTGATGATGATGATGATTATTATTATTATTATTGCTAGTGGGGTGGGACTAAGTCCCTTGTACTGCAGCCACTTCTGGCCTATTGTACCAGTCCCAGATGATAGGTGAGGGTGATTGTGGAGCAATTGGTGGAATGAAGATTGGCAGGGGAAACCGAAGTACTCAAAGAAAAACTGCCCCAGCGCCACTTTGTCCACCACAAATCCCATTTGACCAGACCCGGAATCGAACCTGGGCCGCCGTGGTGGGAAGCCAGCAACTAACCACTTAAGCTATGGTGTGGCCTATGATGATAATTAGGATAATAATGATAATACCGTGTCAAGGAGAGAAATTAATGAACTAATCCTGTGTTGTTATAACATACAAGATTCTATACCAACAGTGAACTCTGTTCTTGAATTTTATCCTGAACCAGCACAAACCAGCCCACATCAAACCCTTTCCTGCAATTCAATTTAATACTATCCTTCAATTTCATTCTCACTATTTCAGGTGATCATTTTCACAAGGGTCTCCTTATAAGAAGTCTGTGTTCCAGGATGTCCATATCTGTGTTATATGTCTAACCACTTACAAATTCCATCTTTAAAATTTATTACATATGAACTCTTCAAGTCAACAAAACAATCTGGTAATTCTTTTTCTTTGTTAGTTGTTCAAGCACAAATTCAGATGGTTAGCAAAGCAGTAATAAAATTGGCTTACATTTAAGACAGTCCTAGTCTAAATCTGGGCTGGTGACCAGCTATCCTGCTCAAGGAAATGCAGGAATAGTGGCATACAAGAGGCCAAAATGTTTTCCTCATTCATCATTCAAAATCATACTTTATGAATAATTAATTCAGAGGATTATGTCAGTGACATTCTTCAGCCCTTTTCTGAGCATTAGGAAAGAAGGGCATACATATTTTATACAAGATGACACTACAGCAGACACAGCTAACTACGTGTTTGAAGACAGGACCAGGAAGTTGGATAATGTGGCTGCAAGTTCCCCAGACTTAATTCCCTGTGATTTTATCTGTGGGAAAATATAAAGTGCATTTAAATAACTGCCACACAATGGAAGATCTCAAGCAGAACATTTATGAAATAATTACATCTATTTAAGCCAGTAACTAAAACTACAGTCAATCAATCTTTTCAAGACACAGGAAGTATGTTTAAGAGCAGAAGAGAGATATTCAAGTTTCCCAGCTGAAGACTCCTTTCTCTCAACTGGCAAGAGCTAATAGGATGATGGTAAAAGTAGGGTGATTTAGCCTTTCAAGAAACACTCTGTACACTGACAGAATTTTCAGGAAAGAATTTCCAGTGATGATTCCAGGCATGGCAGAAACATCGGAATTCATGTCTGAAGCCAGGACCAGGAACTTAACTCAATAAACTAAGGGCAATGACTCTTTTAATCCTCCCCCCCCCACAAGCATTCCAAGGTGTTCCAAAAGAAAATGCAGCATGTGAACAAGTTTAAAATTGGTAATTTTCTGCAGGAAATTCCTAGCAACAGTAGCAGTTTTCTGCGGAATAATTACAGGGCACATTGTGACACATATCCAGTCTTTCACAAATGACAACAGAACCAAATTTATTGTTCACTCCTCTTACATTGCATAAGCATTGAAACTTCTGAACACCTACACCTATCTGGTTCAGAAATGAATCAAATTAATCACTAAATTTTTGCTTATTACTGAACTTCATACATTTGAACTTAACTGATGTGCAACATGATGAACACCAATTACATGGCTCATATTGCCATATAATTTCGCATATCAGTCAATTATATGCTCTAATCACACTGGGAGCACCACCAGTACCCACACCAATCATAAAACCCATCTCATTGTTAAACCTCAATTCTTCCATCAACTTGAACAATCTTTTAATGCCAGAAAATTACATACTGTTAATTTATAGACAAGTGACACTAAACTGCAATTTATAATTGTCAAAATTTTCTTGACACACTTTTTCATACATACAGCCAAGGGATAAATAATA